GGGTTAGAGATGTGTTAAACATATAGTTCAAGGCTTTATTGAACAATCAACCAAGGAGTGTGTGTTTGTGGTCTGGGTGTAGGTATACGTAGTTAAAGATTTATTTTAAGATACGTGGTCGCCTTGATAAATGTGAAGGAGATTGTAAACTACCCAATTGTGCTGTTAAACTGCGTACTTCATGAGCTAGCCTCATTGACCCTGCAAACTACGTACTGTGACCTATAGTACTCTGGTGCGACGTGGAGCTAGCTTATGAAAGGTACTTTGAGCTTAAACTTAGCGAACCAATTTGGGTTGAAGAATTGTTGGGGGATGAAGATTTTTTGTGGACTTTTGACGATTTTGTCGATTTTTTTTGCTAGGCTAGGCAAAGGGATTCACCAGATTTCCTTGCCTAGCAAGGGGGATAGGCTAGATGGAGAGAGAGAGAGGGGGGGGGGGATAGTGTAGCTGCTATTAGGTTTCTGATTGGGCTGGTCCAGTAGATTGTGTGGTGGTGGGGTAATGATAGGTGTGTGAGGGTGTAAGTGCGTGTGTAGTGCCAGGTAACGCGCTCTGATGGTCTACCACACTGCAGTTGTGTGGGATTGTAGCGCTCGCTGCCTAGTGGCCGTGATTGTGCATCATTACAGTGTAACCATCACACTGGCTCACACTGACGATCGCAAGATCCTGTTGGCTCCGTAACGCAGGAAAGAAAGAAAAACATATAGACGCTTTGATGTTTAGATAAGAAAATCATATCCAGTCCACCCCGATTTTCAACTTCTTGAACAAATCCACAAGGGCCGTGACGAGGATTCGAACCTGCGTCCGAGAGCATCCCAGACGCTGCCTTAATCGACTGAGCTACGACATGGATATAAGTTTTCTGACTTGTATCATTTGTTTTTTTGCCCAGGCCGGGTTTAGGGGGGTTGAAGAACTCTCAAAAACAGGTAAACTACAGGTATAAGTAATTCTCGTCAACTTCTTAACAAGCTCAATTCAGACCCCCACAGTCGACACCGAACACAAGACACACAGCTCCGCTGCTCCTGTGCCAGGTAAGTTACGGGCTCACCATAGCCCGTGCTACTTGGAACTTGTTCCGAGTAGCTTAATCTATAACAACAACAACCGAACACAAACTAGACCCCAACGCGGCCGTAAGCCGGAATCCGCTTCAGCGGTAAAGAGTGTTCGAATAAAAGTGACTGAGAGCCGTGAATGGGGAGATTTGTAGTCTGACCGCTACAACTGGCCGGGGCCGGTTTAGCGATCAGTTAATCTTAAGAGATACTGTATCCGGCTAATCCTTCGTTACTTTAATCTTTCGCTTTACAGGATATTCAGCTCGTTCATTATCTGATCAAATGGTTTGAATCATTTGAATTTTATTAATTAAAGTTTATAAATCTGTTAGATTCAATCTAATCCGATTTAAGAGCATAAAATGTGGTTGTAGACCCTTATGTGGTGACGTCAGTCCTGGACCCCTTATGTGGCGACGTTTGTCCTGGACCCCTTATGTGGTGACGTCAGTCCTGGACCCCTTATGTGGCGACGTTTGTCCTGGACCCCTTATGTGGTGACGTTTGTCATGAACCCCTTATGTGGTGACGTTTGTCCTCGACCCCTTATGTGGTGACGTCAGTCCTGAACCCCTTATGTGGCGACGTTTGTCCTGGACCCCTTATGTGGCGACGTTTGTCCTGGACCCCTTATGTGGCGACGTTTCGGTCCGTTCTGACCCCTTATACAGCGAGGTTTTGGTCCGTCTTAGATCCTGACTATCGTCGTCACTTTCATTTTCCGTGTGTGGGGGGGGGGTGTAAAATGCGTAAGTTGCTTGCGATATCAAGGAATTGGGATAGCGAGTCGTGGGATAGAGGTGGAGGAGAGGAACAGGTGGATCCAGGTAATCCCCCCCCCCCCTGAGGTGTCCTGGCAGGTGGGGACGGATGAGGAGGGAAGGGGGGGGGGAAGGGATTAAGAGGGGAGGGGGGAATTAGACATGAATGGGAGAGTCCTTTAATGGGAAGGAGTTTGGGTTCTGAGAGTCAGAGGGCCTCGGCTTGCCTTGTTCGGTCTCCTGGGCCTCGGCTTGCCTTGTTCGGTCTCCTGGGCCTCGGCTTGCCTTGTTCGGTCTCCTGGGCCTCGGCTTGCCTTGTTCGGTCTCCTGGGCCTCGGCTTGCCTTGTTCGGTCTCCTGGGCCTCGGCTTGCCTTTTTCGGTCTCCTGGGCCTCGGCTTGCCTTGTTCGGTCTCCTGGGCCTCGGCTTGCCTTGTTCGGTCTCCTGGGCCTCGGCTTGCCTTGTTCGGTCTCCTGGTCCTAATGACCTTAGCTTCTATTTTGAACCTGTTCCCTCATCTTAAGCATCGCGTTGTTCACGACAGCAATCGTTCCGTTACAAATGCAACGTTATTAATAACAAGTTACAGCACCGTGATATTGACGCTTGCTATATGTCCAACAACTTGGGCTGGACGGTAGAGCGACGGTCTCGCTTCATACAGGTCGGCGTTCAATCCCCGACCGTCCAAGTGGTTGGGCACCATTCCTTCCCCTACGTCCTCCCATCCCAAATCCTTATCCTGATCCCTTCCAAGTGCTATATAGTCGTAGTGGCTTGGCGCTTTTTCCCTGATAATTCCCTCCCTTCCCTCGGTCCCTTTTTATTTCATGGTATCATTATCATTAATTCATTAAATTATGTAACGATATCGTTAAGTTTGGTGTTATCTTCGCTCGTTTCTGGTTAGGGAGCCGAGCGGACAGCACGCGGGACTTGTGATCCTGTGGTCCTGGGTTCGATCCCAGGCGCCGGCGAGAAACAATGGGCAGAGTTTCTTTCACCCTATGCCCCTGTTACCTAGCAGTAAAATAGGTACCTGGGTGTTAGTCAGCTGTCACGGGCTGCTTCCTGGGGGTGGAGGCCTGGTCGAGGACCGGGCCGCGGGGACAGTAAAGCCCCGAAATCATCTCAAGGTAACCTCAAGATAGGGAAAACAGTGGTAAATACTAATTGACGTCCAAGAACTTCTGGGAATATTTTGTTAAAGATATCTATAGTCTTCTAAATATATTCTGTAGCGCAGTGGTTAGCGTAGCCGGCTCACACTCGAATTATAGTACGATCCTCATGCCGAGGGAGACGTTTGAGCGTTTCCGTACCCAGGTCTGGGGTACCCCAGACCGGCCTAGAGGGACCTGGACGACTCGAACACACGTCCCCTGTCCTCGACAAAGAGGAAATCTGAAACTCGCCTTCTCTATCCCCCCATAAATCTCCATTCCCCTGAAGCATTTTCTCACGCGGTCTCGCATTCCTTCAGTTTTCCTTCTCGACAAGTGCCTCTTTGCCACACCTGCCCTCCAGAGGGTCCTCCACACCTGCCACTGCCTCCAGAGGGTCCTCCACACCTGCCACTGCCTCCGGAGGGTCCTCCACACCTGCCACTGCCTCCGGAGGGTCCTCCACACCTGCCACTGCCTCCGGAGGGTCCTCCACACCTGCCACTGCCTCCGGAGGGTCCTCCACACCTGCCACTGCCTCCGGAGGGTCCTCCACACCTGCCACTGCCTCCGGAGGGTCCTCCACACCTGCTACTGCCTCCCGAGGGTCCTCCACACCTGTTAGTGCACCCCACCCTTATCCCCGGGTGGCGGGGTGGGGGGTGCCTCAGTCTTGCTTGCCCTGGGTCATGGGTTCTTCACCTCAACCTCCCTCCCCCCCCTGACCCTGACTTCATACCCACCTGGGTGGGGTTGCCCTGAGTTGGAGGTTTCTGGTTTGTCAAAACAGTTGCTGTTTGTTACGGAATGTCAGGTAAAAGTGAGCCCTTTGTGTGCCTCTGTAACCCTTTCCACCACCGCCCACGGGATGGGTATGGGGTCCACCACCGCCCACGGGATGGGTATGGGGCTCCACCACCACCCACGGGATGGGCATGGGGTCCACCACCGCCCACGGGATGGGCATGGGGTCCACCACCGCCCACGGGATGGGTATGGGGCTCCACCACCGCCCACGGGATGAGTATGGGGTCCACCACCGCCCACGGGATGGGCATGGGGTCCACCACCGCCCTCGGGATGGGTATGGGGCTCCACCACCGCCCACGGGATGGGTATGGGGTCCACCACCGCCCACGGGATGGGTATGGGGTCCACCACCACCCACGGGATGGGCATGGGGTCCACCACCGCCCACGGGATGGGTATGGGGCTCCACCACCGCCCACGGGATGGGTATGGGGCTCCACCACCGCCCACGGGATGGGTATGGGGCTCCACCACCGCCCACGGGATGGGTATGGGGTACCACCACCGCCCACGGGATGGGTATGGGGTCCACCACCGCCCACGGGATGGGTATGGGGCTCCACCACCGCCCACGGGATGGGTATGGGGCTCCACCACCGCCCACGGGATGGGTATGGGGCTCTACCACCGCCCACGGGATGGGTATGGGGTACCACCACCGCCCACGGGATGGGTATGGGGTACCACCACCGCCCACGGGATGGGTATGGGGTACCACCACCGCCCACGGGATGGGTATGGGGTACATAATAAATTCATGAACAATGACAATGAAAGAGATCCTGTGATGTCGGGTCATGATGCCTAATATAGGCCTAAGTGCCGCTGAAGCCCCGCTAGGGTCTAGCCAGATATAGGCCTATGCCTCGCAAGCCAGAGGAAGCTATAGGTATCCCCACAAGTCCAGGGCCGCTCCCAGCAACAGCCTGTTGGACCAAGCTCTCACAAAGCCTGGCCCCGGGCCGGGCTTGGGGTTAGGGAACTTCCAGAACCCGTTCCAGGTAAACTCCAGATAATTTGGAAAGCAAACATGTGTGTATTATGTTATTCATAAATGTGTGTACTCGATACACATAGATTCTTGCATCTGTACACCCCCAGTCCCTCTCCTCACAGCTTGTCCTCTAGGGTAAATATTCGTTTTAAGCCAAATCACCAATCTGAAGTTTGGGTTTCAACTACTTATTGCAGAGCTAACGTCAGTAACTAGAGCCTACAAAATACTGTGAACGAAAAGTATTGTGACCCGCAAACGACCCTTTGTGACCCGCAAACGACCATTTGTGACCCGAAAACGACCCTTTGTGACCCGCGAACGACCGCCCTGTGATCCCGAACACTCCGCGGTAAACCTCTATAGTTCGCCTGGAATGTGTTAAATTCAACTTAAGCGATTAAGTAGCATAATACTCAACACAAGAGTGAGTCTTCCTGCGTGTGGGGGGCCAGCAATGAGGTGAGGGCGTCTCCTGCAGCGCCGTCATGCCCATCCCCATGTTGAAGGCGCTCAGCCGCGAGCCTGGAGACCGCAGGAGCATCGGTGTGGGCGTCGTCCACTCCCCCAGGATCGGACCGGAGCCTCCGCCCTCATCCCTCGTCAGGAAGAGCTGGCACGCAGGTGAGAGCTGGCCGGCCGGCCCCCCTTACTCTCCGGAGGCTGGTAATGTTATCTGCCCGTGTTGGGTGTCTGTCTGTCCCTCTGTCCCTCTCCTTGTGTTTGTATCTCTCCCTGTCTCTCTCTCTCTCCCTGTATCTCTCCCTGTGTGTGTCTCTCTCCCCCTGTGTGTGTGTGTCTCTCCCTGTATCTCTCCCTGTGTGTGTCTCTCTCCCCCTGTGTGTGTCTCTCTCTCCCTGTGTGTCTCTCTCTCTCCCTGTGTGTGTGTCTCTCTCTCCCTGTGTGTGTGTCTCTCTCTCCCTGTGTGTGTGTCTCTCTCTCCCTGTGTGTGTGTCTCTCTCTCCCTGTGTGTGTGTCTCTCTCTCCCTGTGTGTGTGTCTCTCTCTCCCTGTGTGTGTCTCTCTCTCTCCCTGTCTCCCTCTCTCTCCCTCTCTCTCCGTCTCTCTCCTTCTCTCTCTCTCGTACATTCATATGTAAGTTAGTGTTGTAAGCAAGACGGCGAGGACGGGTGGTGAGTACTAAGTCTACCGTCACATACATGAGTTGGTGAGTACAGAGGTCACGACGCTGCCCTCCACGTGAGTACAGAGGTCACGCCGCTGCCCTCCACGGGAGTACAGAGGTCACGCCGCTGCCCTCCACGTGAGTACAGAGGTCACGCCGCTGCCCTCCACGTGAGTACAGAGGTCACGCCGCTGCCCTCCACGTGAGTACAGAGGTCGCGCCGCTGTCCTCCACGTGTGATCTGAAGGCAATTCTAAGCACGTTTGGTGAAGGGTCAAGTCACCTTTGGTTAGCTCTTACTAGGATTTTGGTTTCACGGGTTTGTAATAGATTTGTGACAGCCTGTTATTGGGGGTTTTTGTGGTCTTTGGTAACTGTTCTAGCGTTCCATTTTTTGTGCATTGGTTGTGTCTTCAGGAATGACAGGAAGTTCAGTCCGTTCTCTCGTTCCTTCCCTAATCTATTGTGTGTGTGTGTGTGTGTGTGTGTGTGTGTGTGTGTGTGTGTGTGTGTGTGTGTGTGTGTGTGTGTGTGTGTGTGTGTGTGTGTGTGTGTGTGTGTGTGTGTGTGTGTGTGTGTGTGTGTGTGTGTGTGTGTGTGTGTTCGTACTCACCTATTTGTGCTTGCGGGGGATGAGCTCTGGCTCTTTGGTTCCGCTTCTCAACTGTCAATCAACTGGTGTACAGGTTCCCGAGCCTGTTGGGCTCTATCATATCTACACTTGAAATTGTGTATGGAGTCAGCCTCCACCACATCACTGCTTAATACATTCCATTTGTCAACTATTCTGACACTGAAAAAAGGTCTTTTTAATATCTTTGTGGCTCATTTGGGCACTCGGTTTCCACCTGTGTCCCCTAGTGCGTGTGCCTATTGTGTTAAATAGCCTGTCTTTATCTACCCTATCAATTCCTTTGAGAATCTTGTATGTGGTGATCATGTCCCCGTGTGTGTATGTGTGTGTGTATATATATATATATATATATATATATATATATATATATATATATATATATATATATATATATATATATATATACATCACTAAGCTTATTTAAATTTAAATTCGCTAATCTATTATCATATGTACTTCTATTTCTATTACCGGTAGTCCTATGTATGACTTGTAGCCACGCTAGGTTTGGGTGTCCCGTGGTACAGGTTATGGAAGGGGAGGTCTGATCGCCTCCGTGACGAGCGAGTACAACTCTGAATCCATTCCAGGTATAATCCAGGTGCTAGTGTAGAGATTGAGAGTCTTGAGGAGATAAGGTGTTGCCGAGATATCTGAATGACCAATGAGAGGGCGTCATGAAGCTCGCGAATCAAAGCCCTTCTTTTACCGCAACCAATGAGAGCGCACTTTCCAAGACAACGACCACCTTGGGGGCCAATCAGAAACCGCGCTCAGGGACGTTACCGAGCATGTGTAGAAATGCCGTAGATGAAAATCTAAATTTCTTTTTTTGCAAGGGGAAACTAAATAATATTTGAGAGAACGGCGTCAGTAATCAAGTCTCCGGGCCGGAAGTCAACCCGGAATTAGTGTCGGAAGTGCGACACTGCCGAGTGGGGGGAGTGATTAAAGTGAGGAGTGAGGAGAAAGTAGAAAGAGGAGGAAAGTGAATAGGAAGCACAAGAGATGAGGGAAGGGGGGGGGGGGGGGTGATGATGAAATTGTGATGATTAACCGGATTGTAAATCGCGAGTCGAAACAAGAATCAGTTTCTAACAGCCTGCTTAACCAGATGACCAACATGAAAGCCTAGTCAAGAGACCGGGCCTCGGGATTATTGATCCTCTGAACCACCTCATGGTTGATAAGAGGGTAGAGGGGGGGGGGGAAGGATGGAGGGGGTTATCTTGAGGATATCTTGAGATGATTTCGGGGCTTTTAGTGTCCCCGCGGCCCGGTCCTCGACCAGGCCTCCACCCCCAGGAAGCAGCCCGTGACAGCTGACTAACTCCCAGGTACCTATTTACTGCTAGGTAACAGGGGCATTCAGAGTGAAAGAAACTTTGCCCTTTTGTTTCTGCCTCGTGCGGGAATCGAACCCGCGCCACAGAATTACGAGTCTTGCGCGCTATCCACCAGGCTACGAGGTCTTATCTCGGGGGAGATAAGGGGCGCCCCCCCCCCCCCACAACACCGTATGGAGTAGCCACCTCAAAAAAAAGTCATTACCAACCTGTAATTTCAGTCGACTCCCGTATTGTCGAATCCTTTGTTGCGCAGACTCATTTTTTTTTGTTCGTTGTCGTGTGTACTGTTGTCATGGACAGGTGGCAGTGCGTGGTCATGACTAGTGGCCGGCCTACAACGGCACTTCCCGCCAAACACACACCGAAACTACGACGTTGGTACAACGTTCGAACAAGTTTTAACACCTCCTAACCAGTTATAACAACCAATATAATAATAATAATAATAATTTTTATTTAGGCAAAGGTACATACATAACGAGATTTTACAAAGTTTGTTGGCTTTATAGATAAGAGCTAGTACATACAATGCCTAAAGCCACTATTACGCAAAGCGTTTCGGGCAGCAAGTTGATTTTTAGATATACAAGTTGACTTTTAGATATACTAAGTTGTAACAACGTTCTAGTACGTCACAAACACGTTAAGCCAAGATGTAACAACTTTATTACAAGTTGTAACAAGCGGAAAATAGACAGTTACGGTTTGTGTTTCCAGGGTTGCACCCCCAAAAAGAGTGACAGAATTTGATGATGTCTTGCAACTTGAGGAAGTGAGGTTAAGAAAAGTGGTTCAGTGCGCTTCAGATCATGTGTTTCTTCTTTAATGTTAGATCTATTCTTACAATTTCCTCATCCTTTCCAACGAAGATCAGGAATAGGTTTCAAGCGCGGGTTGGACAAGTATATGAGTGGGATTGGGTGGTTATAAATAGGAGCTGCCTCGTATGGGCCAATAGGCCTTCTGCAGTTATCTTTGTTCTTATGTTTTTTTTTTTTTTTTTTTTTTTTTAGATATATACAAGAGTTGTTACATTCTTGTACAGCCACTAGTACGCGTAGCGTTTCGGGCAGGTCCCTGGAATACGATCCCCGCCGCGAAGAATCGTTTTTTCATCCAAGTACACATTTTACTGTTGCGTTAAACAGAGGCTACAGTTAAGGAATTGCGCCCAGTAAATCCTCCCCGGCCAGGATACGAACCCATGACAGCGCTCGCGGAACGCCAGGCGAGTGTCTTACCACTACACCACGGAGACTGTGAACACGGAGACATGTTCTCATGTCTATGGGCTATATCAGTCTTAGGTTTGAGATAAGTTGAAGACCCCATAGCCAAAGGCTATAATATACTAGAGATGAGCGGAAGGGCCACAATGTCAAAGACTAAATAGCATAGCTCAAAGGCTATGTGAACAGTAGGAAGTGAATTATTTCCTTAGATCAGCCCCCACCCCCTGGAGGCCACCTTTAAGGTCTCCTCTTGTCCTCTTACTTACGACCTCTTACTAGTCCGTTAAGAGGTCGCTGTGCTGAGGGATACACACGTGTGTCCTGGCCTTGAAGTAGCAATTGTAACAGTTTAAGACCATGTTTTTTTTTATGTCAACTGGACAAAGATTATTCTGTGGTGAGCTTAGGTCGTTCCACCTCCTTACTAGTTCCACGAGTCGTAGTTGATGTCGTAGGCCTTAAGGATGTAGAGCATGGCAGCTTGTTGTAGTTGAGGTGGTGAACATGTTTGGCACTTTCTGTAGTTGATGTTAGTAGTGATCAGGAATAGGCCTAGTGTAGTTTGGCAAGCCTAGTACGACTGGTGTGGTTGTACATTAGTTGTGGCGATTGTGTCTATTGATGGCTGTGTAGTTGTTGTACTCGCCTAGTTGTGCTGGCGGTGGTGTTGAGCTTTGGCTCTTTGGTCCCGCCTGTTGTGGTAGTGATGTAGTAAATTGTTTGTGTAGGTGGTGCAGGGTAATGTTGTTGGTGAGGTAGTTGTGGTTGTTGGTGAGGTAGTTGTGGTTGTTGGTGAGGTAGTTGTGGTTGTTGGTGAGGTAGTTGTGGTTGTTGGTGAGGTAGTTGTGGTTGTGGTGAAGATCATGAACGGTGCAGGTGTTTTAACCGTAGGTGATGCAGTAGTTATTGACTCATAGATTTCAGAGTTGTGATCGTGGTTATTGTAGATACCTTTCAATAACGTCATCACTGGGGTCAAACGACGCTGCGATCAGAGTTAGCCTACGACGACAGCTGTGAATAGCCCCCAAAGAGCCGGATATCTGTAGAGCTAGCATTGAGAATTAGAGAGATACGCTGTGCGCAATTTTATCGATGTTGTGAGGCGACTCTATCGTCATTTTCAGCTCTAGAATCCGCTCTATACGACTATTATTCACACACGATGCTGTAAACACCACCCAGACAGTCATTTGTCCCACACGAGGTAAAAGCGTAGCCTATAGAGGATAGTTATCTTGAGGTTATCTTGAGATGATTTCGGGGCTTTTAGTGTCCCCGCGG